TGCCAACTAGACAGGTGTTGAGAATAACAATTTCAATGGGGGACTGTTCAGTACAACTGAGATTCCTCTGGTTTAGATTATTTATAAATTGAATCTGGTAATAATCAGGCAATAAAAATGGGTAAAGGCAAGTAGATAAAGAGTCATTCTTATTGAAACCCCATGTCCCTTCTGTGTGAAGGGACATGTAAATATAAAATGTTTATAAGTTTTTATTCCACAGCTTTATCAAAACTGCAGCTGTTTTGCGACCCTATCAAACGAAGGAGTTCAAGGTAGCGGCTGTGAACCAGAGTGTAATGCTCTTATTCCTTTCCTGATCTGCTTGTTGTGTCTCATGATTTTTACATTTTCTAACAACATCCCTGCAACCACAGCAACACTAAGGTAATTGCTATGTACAATTTTATTGGGCTTGGAGGGGCATGCCAATTTTTGAGGGTTGGAGAAAGGAGAACTTAATATGCTATGATGAATGCTGAACATTTCTTTATTATTATTTAATATTATATCATATATTAATTTCATTTATAATTTAATTATTGTAAATCACTATTTATAGTAACTTCATATCGTTACTGATAGCTGATGTTCAGTAGGGGCATGGTGGTATGGTACGGTGATTACTAAGTTGCACTGCACTCTAAATCTTAACAGTTGTTCTGAACTATTTGAATGAAGAATTTGGAAATTCAAGATGGTGGACATTTTGAAAATTATGCTGGACAATAAATTTTTGTGTTAAGAGACATGCGCCATGTTTGATATGTGATCATTGATCACTGCTTAAAAATAAACAAGTTTGGATGCTTTACACACCATATACAATTTGATTACAATAATTAATGAAATTAATTGATTTAATTAATTAATTTAATTAATTAATTTAATTGCATAATTATTATGCAAATGTTTTTAAACTTACCAGGGGGTACAAAAGTATCCTTTCACCCTGCTAGGCTCATGAACAAAAAAAGGCCAAGATAAATGGGGTTGATAATCAATAATAATTAAATTAAATAATAAATTATATATATTTGAATAATTCCTTTTGCTGTTAGGTGTGTTCCCGAGAGTCAAGGGTCTTTTGCGCTTGGTATTAACCAGCTGATTGTTCGTATTTTGGCGTTCATACCGTCACCAATCATCTTTGGATATGTAATTGACGCAGCGTGTCGCTTACACCAAATGGATCCTTGTGACGAGAGCGCAGAGAGGAATTGTCTGGAATATGACACTGATTTGTTCAGGTAAATCAGTCGTTCCTAAACATCTTGTATTATACACTGAATATATAATGTTATTGACCATGCAAGTATGAAGTCAAGGTGGCTGGATATTTTTGTGAGTTTGTGGACCAAGATGGAGTCTAGGTCTGTAAACTCACCAAAAAAGAACTCAATGGCCAATATCCATTCTCATCCCCAGAGGCTACTCTCCTTTTGGTCAGCACCAGGAATCGCAACCTCTGGGTTAGTTCAACACCAGAAGTCTGTGATTCACAGACTTTCCATCAAATCTGACGAATCTGATTGGCTGAGAATACGAAATGAATTCCCTGCGCATACTCAGAAAATCGGGTCTGGCCAAAGGTCGTGATTCTTGGTGCTGACCAAAAGGAGTGCGGCCTCTGGGTACAAGAATGGCCAATATATCCAGCCATGTTGACTGAACAAGCCTGGGCAATATAAAAGATTTATTATTAATATGGCTTTCGGGAACATTTTTCATGCAAGACACAGTGGGTAGTCCCGAGCAGACAGGATAGTGCTGTCTTGCCCACCCAGGTAGCCAATCACCATTCAGGATTTGATTCATCTTGCCTGCTCATGGAGCTAGCCATATAATATATAAGAGAGTTTAATAATTTACTTATCAAATAACATTATATTATTTGTGTGTTGTACCTTACCTTTTTGTTGACCATCCACCATTGATTTTCTCACCCTTGGATGACTGCAGTAAGCAAGGCCACCACAAGGTTGATGGTGTGCTTCTTTATACTTTTTGAGACAAGGAAATGCGTTTTCTTAATAACTGAACCATGACCATCCAATTTATGCCTTTGCAATAATTTAACTTGCATTGAATTACTAAATATTGCTGTTTTCACCTAGGTATTTGATGTTCGCAGTGGGAGGTGGTTTCAAGTTATTATCTGCTGTAGCATTTTTCTTTGCTTGGAAATTTTACAAACTGCCGGTAGCTGAGTCGAGTAATGGTGACTCAAACCCAGAAACCACATCCCAGACAACAATCATGGATGGAAGCACTCCCAACGAACACAAGGATATGACAGAGCTTATTCCAGTTGCGCAGTTTATTAAAGTTTCCAATTCGAAGGACAGTTACAAGGAAGAGCCGAAAGTAACCACTGTATAAATAATTATGTTTACATTTTTTCTTTTTCTTGAAATGGTTTACATTATACAGTGGAACCCTGCCTTGTGACCACCTTATCATACAGCCACCTTCTTATCAATGCCACTGTATCCTGGCCCGAACAAAAGTTCAGTCAGTCATTTTCTTATTTAAAGAACCCCTTTTATCTGGCCAGTCCATTAATACAGCCAGATTTTTGTGGCCTGTCGGTGACCAGTATAATGGGGTAATCCACTGTATTTAACAGTAACTATTTTGGGGTTATAAGTGGCTTATTATGTTAGCTAGGCAAAGTTTAGGGCTTATGATTTCAGTGGCAAGAACATTTTAAGGCACACTTTGATTTGTATATCATTACACAAATGTATGCTGATATAAAGCACAGTCGCCAATTCAGGGCTGTCATTAAGGGCCGTAACCAGTAACACTTGTTACAGCTGAGTATGCTTGATTTTCCCTCGATGTCATGGGAGAAATTACCTGTTGTTGATAGAATTTATCCACAAAATAACGAGTTTGCTACAGGTGTGGAGAACAAGGCTACAGGTGACTCAAAACTTAATGACAGCTCTGACAGTGGTTATTGATTCATTCCACGAGTCATTTAGGCTATTTTAGCCATTGTGTTAAATCAATAATTGAAGTCGTCCCTAATTGTTAGGGACTACTTGTTTCCAACAGACTTATTTAATAGCAAAACAATTAGTTATTGTGCATATTGCATTCAAATGTGTGCACGTGGATCTTTCTTTGTGATAGGTCTGTAATGTGTACTCAAGTAGCTAACCATCTACCATGCTTACAGCTGGCTGCTATAGCTAAATCTCTAAGTACCATGCTTTTATGTGGGAAGGTTTAGATTGAAAAAGTACAGGTGGTTGACAGAAAATTATTTTGTTATTCAATCAAATTCGAGATTATTTTTCTGATAAATTACTTTTTGATGCAATCAATTTGATTTATTTGAATGCTAATATTGTACACAAAAGTAGAATGATATTTATGCATACACAGACACAATGCCAGTAATTGGTTGCATAATTATATTACTTTCAATGACCCTTTTTTATAACAGTTCAATTCCGTATAAAGAAAGAAGTATTAATGCAGTCAACGCCCTTTTAGCTTTTAGTGCAAAAAGTGGGCGTCGCAATACTAACAGTTTGCAGTTTGATGCTCAAAATTCCAAGTTTTGGGAGGAGAGTAGAGATTGCTTGCAGTTTGGTATTAATACTGTATTCATACACACTGGTTTACAGTCTTCTTGAAATCATAGCTGCAGATATTACACTGAGGTATTCTCCCAGGGTCACCAGAAACATGCACTTTCAAGGTCGCTACAGTGTGACAGTTATCCATTTCCCTGGCATGTAGAGAGTCCCTCCCTGGCCAGACATATGATGATGTTCTCTACTTAAAGACCTTTTCTCCTTCCAGGATTTGCTTCTCTCATTGCGGCAGTATGGCTGTAATTGGTTTGATATGCGTTGGCTCTATATAAGGGAGTTGGCTGTAATTATTGTTAGTAGACTGTTATATATGGAGACAGTGCAGGCTGCTGTCTCCATGTTTTGTTTCGGGTATATGTACATCTAATGCATGGCATAACACTTGCCTTCATATAGTTAACTTTATACATGTCAATCAATATTACAGGGCTCACTCATTGGTTGTGATCCACTGCATATTACCCCACAGTGTAGGAAAGGGATTGGGTTTGGCAGATTCTCTGACTTCTGTCTGGTAGAACTAATTGTGATTCCCTTGTATTAAGGGCCCATTAACCGA